CTGAGCTAGGTAGTGAATTCCTAAATCTAGTAGAGAATTTTCTCTGACACTTATTCTAAAGAATCCCAAGTATTTGTAGTAAGGAACTATCCAATTTGTTCATTCGTTCAACAAATACTTATTGAGTACTTTTTCATGTACCAGTCACTACTTTAGACGTGGGAGGTAGATACTTTATTAATAAAATGACAGATATCACTGCTTTCAAAACTGCTGATTTACTTACCTATATCTCTTGTCCATTTCTTCAAATATATTATCCTTTCTACCACAGACACACAGCTTCTAACTTAAGAAGATGTCAGAAAGTACCTTTTCTCTAGAGCTATAGAAGCCACTGGGCCAGGGTTCTATGTTCCTCTTCACTTCTTACTTTTTTTTTTTTTTTAATGTTTTGTTTTAGTTGGACATAATACCTTTATTTTATTTTTATGTGGTGCTGAGGATGGAACCCAGCACTTGCTAGGCGAACATTCTACCGCTGAGCCACAACCCCTAGGTTCCCCCCACTCTCGTGATGTATCAGTTTCATAGTTACTGATTATACAAGTAATAATTGCTATTTGATCAAAAAAATTACATTAGTTCAGACTTGGTATCTGATGGTAACAGATACTTTGCAAAGCAAATGATATATAGTTCAGTAAGTTCAAAGAGAATGCTAATGTAAAGACATTATCTTAGAATAATGTTTGTGTAAATAATGGATACTGCTCTATGTTTGTTTTAAAACATCTTATTTTATTTTTGCAGGAGCAATTGGTTACATGGGAACAAGTGCCTTTGTCCGAAAAATCTATACTAATGTGAAAATTGACTAGAGACCCAAGAAAACCTGGAACTTCGGATCAATTTCTCTTTCATAGGGGTGGAACTTGCACAGCAAAAAAAGCGCAAGAAGAGATTTGGGCTTAACACTGGGTACTTTGTGGGTCTCTTTCGTGGATGGCTTAAAGTAACATCTATTTCCATTGATCCTAGGTTCGTACTGACTGCTTTCTCCAACTGTTCACAGCAAATGCTTGGATTTTATGCAGTAGGCATTACTACAGTACATGGCTAATCTTCCCAAAAACTAGCTCATTAAAGATGAAATAGACCAGCTCTCTTCAGTGAAGAGGACAAATAGTTTATTTAAAGCATTTGTTCCAATAAAATAAGTAGAGGGAAACTTGGATGCTAAAATTACATGAGTAGAAATCTTCCTGGCACTTAGTGTTTCTACATTATTGAAAAATGATGTTCCAGAAAGATTACTTTTTTTTTCTCTTATTTTTACTGCCATCGTTGACCTATTGTGGGACATTTTTATATATTGAATCTGGGTTCTTTTTTGACCTGTTATAGGTTTTTTTCTCCTCCAGTTCAACTGCATCCTTTTTTTTTTTTTAAAAAAAAGAGAATTAAAAAATATTAAATTCTGCATGTAATATATCTGCTGTCATCTTAGTTGGACCAGCTTCCCATTTATTTATCTTAAAATTTTCCAGTTATATCTTAATTCCATCCAAAGAAGATACAGTCTGAAGATAGAGGTGTACTCTCTACAATGCAATTTACTGTACAGTTAGAAAGCCAAGTGTTAAATGGAGAAGATAAGTTGTTTTTATTAAACATTTTGAGATTTAGATAAACTACATTTTAACTGAATGTCTAAAGTGATTATCTTTTTCCCCCAAGGTTAGTCTTAAAATCTTTTTTTGAGTTTGAATGAAGGCTTTACATAAGAAATTATTAAAAGCAAGGGGGGTGGGTAATAAATGTACATAACATTAAATAATGTAACGTAGGTGTAGATTCCCAGATGCGTTTGGATGTACAGATGGACTATGGAGTACTTTTTTCTGATGATGATTGGTGTAGAAATGTGTGAATTTGGGTGGCTTTTTACATCTTGCCTACCATTGCATGAAACATTGGGGTTTCTTCAAAATGTGTGTGTCATACTTCTTTTGGGAGGGGTGTTGTTTTCTTCTGTTTCTTTTCTGAGACTCCTACAGGAGCTAAATTTGTAATTTAGAAACATTTAATTTTGTTAATCCTGTCTGGGACACTTAAGTAACATCTAAAGCATTACTGCTTTAGAATGTTCAAATAAAATTTCCTGACCAAATTGTTTTGTGGAAATAGATGTGTTTGCAATTTGAAAGATAACTGTTCAAAAGGCAATATTACTTAATGCCAGTTATTTTTTAATAGATTATAAAATATGCCTTTCTAATACAGAGGACTCTCACTTCAAAATCCCCAAACTGTCGTACATCTAGATTATCCAGTATAGTCACAAAGTGAATGACAAACCTTTTGAATGAAACTATGGTGCAAAATCTGTTAGGTTGGTATACCCTGTAAAGTTGGGTGGGGTATAAGTGGTTAGCAAATATAGGTTACAGTTTTCTAAGAGATCTTAATTTTGATTACATTTTTCCCAGAACTATCCATAATGTAAAGTTTTCCTAGAACCACTGAGTTTCTAGTTTAATGGTTTGCTATGCAAATGACCACCTAAAACAATACTGTATATTGGTATTTTTAGAAAGTCTCAAATCAATTGTATTAAACCTTAATGTGAAAATCATGTCAATAATAATTACATTAGATGTTTTCATTACAAAAATATATTTCTATAAAGTAATGGACTCCATATCCTATGTTGTGGCATATAAGACCTATGAAGAGTGAATTTTTCACCTCAAGTGTGGTTGATATAAACAAACAGAAACTGTAGGTAGAACTTCTTTTTCAAGACAGAATGTGATATTAAATGTAATCTACTGGTTCTTCCACTTTGTCTTCTCACCTGCCTTTATGATCTTGTAAGAAAAGAAACTAAAAGGCAATATTTAATTGCTTATATTGTGTAATTTTTTAACATGTTAGAGCACTTTTAGTATAAGAACATAGGCTATCTGATGGAGTATAAACTGAGTGGCAAACTTGTCTTAATCAAAATGCAGTTTATTTTTGTGATATGATTCTTGCAGGTAAGATATAAGGTTGAGAATATGTTTAGCTGCTTTCATTTGCACCAACTCTACTAAGTTGAGCTGTATTTGACATTCTTTGGAATCTGAAAAGTGATTTTCTAGTTTCCAAATACATTAAGAACATCAACATTAACATAAATCACTTTGAAAAGTCCTTTAGGAAAAAGGCTCATTGGTTTGTTGCTTCATAGAGAGGTAAATATATATGTGAGTCTTGAAAAAGATAGTTTACAAATGGTTTAGCTCCCTAACACTCATCAGTTGTAGAATAGTAAAGTAGAATATTATTTAAGTTAATTGAAAGGTGGGGTTTTTCTACACTCCATCAATGCTGCATATGTCTTCAATTTGCTAATGTTGGCTCAACTGACACTTTGGACACTATCAAAAACTAAGGATAAACTTTCTCTGTCTTTAAGCATGCTTCTCCTGAAATTTAACTACATTAGTAGTTTACATTGCTTCATATATCTGCTCATCCAAGGGTAGGATAAAGTAGAACTGTAACAAAAGGAAGGTGGTAAAGTTTTCTTCAGTATGTACCATGTTGGGTTCTTAGATGGTACTGGGTTTGCCCATAAATCAAATCCCATACTCTTAAAATTAATTTATTGTGGTGGTGTCTGAACCTAGTGAATGGTATACTTGGGTATTTTCCTCTGAAAGTGGATAGACCTCTTTATAAAGGTGGTTGCTGCAAATTCCAGTTCTTCCAAAAGCCACTTTTAGGGTTTATTCACAAATTATATTCATTTTGATATAGCTTTTGTTTCCCAAATGTTTACCAACCACCATATGCCAAATGTCTTGCAAATAAATATTATTTTAAAGTGTCCTCAATTTTTACAAATGTAAAAAGATACAGCATATTAATGTAACTTGTTCAGGAAAAGCTACATACTGAAGGGCTTCTGTATATGAATTCTAAGGGGGAAAGGCCTGTTTGTAAAAATCTATACACCGCAGTTCCATCTGGGTTTTAAGTTTAGATTTCAGTGTGTCTTAGTGCTTCATTCTATTGGTTTATTGGAACATACAATAAGTAGGAGTAGTGCTGTATAAAAACAAATATTCATTAATATTTTATAAAAGATCTTCATTAAAGTTCTATAATTATGAAGCTATGTTTTAATAATCAAGAGTTAATCAGAGAAGTGGAAATTTAGGAAGATTGTTTGAAAATGTGTACAGAAATAGACTAGATTTGCAGATAGAGTAGATCAGAGTTAACATTATACCTGCAGAAATTTTGTAAGATTTAAATTCAGTCTGAGTAATAAGTCTAGTTCTCTCCTTTGAGCATTCCCTAAAAGGTATCTGATTTGACATTCTTAGAGCTGCAGATAGAAATATACAAAGACAAAAATAAAATTAAGTTCTCATTCACTGTTAGAAAATGGCAACAAGAAACTTGTGAAACTGACTTATAATGAAGTATTGGTGAACTAGGCTCGTAGTAACTGACCAACTAAGCATAGTTTGTGTTTACCCTAGTTCTTCAGTTTAGGTTATTTGAGAGTTATAAAGGTTATTAAGAGCTTAAGGCAAGGAAGAAAACATGGAATTCTGTTGGAAGGACAACAGAGCATTCTTGGAAAAGCAATCTCACTTGGGCTTTTCATCTGTGTTAAACTGGAACCTATAAATCCCCACAGAGCATGGACAATCGACAGAGTTGGAAGGAAACAATTTTTGCCCGATGATCACTTCCATTTTGTATACACCCTTGGTTTGTGTAGGCCATATTCTAGCTGGCTTTTCAGTCATAAAAATCCAGTATATAATGTATCAGATACAATTGAGGTTCTAATCTAGTCTGTTAATTTATCTGAAGTTGGATTTTTAAAAAGTAATAAAAAGTTAAATGTACTTCCCTTGGATGCTTTGTTTCTTTCCTTTTTGAAACAGGTGAACCAAGTGTAAGGGATCACCAACTAAATTGGCACACATATTAAGAGATTACTGATAGCTTTCCGCAGTTAAATAGAGCAGGAGTCAGAAACTGTTGAGAGCCAGGTAGTAAATAATTTAGTTATTAAAGGTCCTGCGGCCTGTCACAAGTATTCTGTCACAAAGCATCTATCACAGGTAGTACATACATAAACCAGCACTACTGTATTCCATTGAATGTACAAAAGAAACACTCTGGCCATAGTTTGCTGGCCCATGAAATAAAGATTTAAAATTTAGGGTGTGGGTTTTTTTCCCCAAGATTTATATTTTGGAAAAAAAAAAAAGTCAATGTACTGAAAAGTTGGAAGAATAGTTTTGTTCCTTTAAAAAGATGATCTTTTTTTCCTTCTATTACTATTTCCTTTGACTATAAGCTTTGGATCCTGTACTCAAGCCCCTCACCCCTGTCCTGATTTTGTCCCTCTCCTGATTGATAACACACTGCCTTTTGTCTACTACTTTTTACTTCTTCAAAGACGTTTCATGTGTATCCTTAACCATCTAGGAAGCTGGAAGGGTACATTAGAGTCTAAGTCGCCTAAAGAGGCTCTTATTTTTAGTCCAAAAATAATCAAGATCAAGGTCCTGTTGTCTTGGTGATTGTAACAGTAAAATGGAGGTGTCAGCTTCCCAGCCTAAAGCAATGGATAATTCCTGGAAAGTCACATTGAATATTAGTGTCCCTGCAAATAGAAGGGATTATTTGTAATGTGCTAAGGTCTATTTTTACTTTTTTCTTTTCATATTTTTAACTAGTTTTCAAGATCTTTATTAACTTATTTCGTTCTTTTCTCCCTCTAATTTTATTAGCTGCCTTTATGTTCGGCAATTTCTGTTAGCCAGATTATTAGTACAAACTTGGATTACTTCTGATTTTTAATGAACATTATGTCTGGTTGGAAGACTAAAGGTAGAGGGATCTACTATGCAGTCAACTTCTCCATTTCAAAATTTAAGTTGTTAAGTCTATGATATAACATTAGAAAAGGAGGAAATAGACCTACACTGGGACCCATGGAGTCAACAAATCTAAAAATGTATTTAAAGTCATTTGATTGTTTTAAATGATTTTCCTTTTCAAAGTCTGCATACTTTATGGTGAAAGGAGTTTCAAATGAAAACAAATGGAGGTAGTTGTAGGGAGAAGTTAAGTCATTTTAACTGGCCAGTGTTAACTCCATATAATAACAATCTAAGTCACTGAGGTTACTTGACTTGATTCTGAAGGTTGTTGAAGGAAGGTGAAGGTCTAGAGAGTGAGACATGGAAGGTGACTCCTAGCTGGATTTGGTCAGAGAGGTGTGCTACATACAGTTAGAGACCAGTAGGGTAGGGCAACCCTGTTGAATAGGCAAGGACTGTGGATGTAATAGTTGCTATATTCAATGCTGGATGTAGGGTCTGTGGCTATCAATCTTTCCCAGGCAGAGACTTGGAGATATGAGATGGCAGGACCCCATTAGGATGACTAGGTGTTTACAGGGGCAAGAGCATTGTGGGAGATGGCAGGAGCCAGTGCTGGGAAGGTAAGAGAAAGGCCTGAAGGTGAATTCAGGGCCTGGTTTGTTACCTCCAGCAAGGACAAAGGTTTTGAAGAGCTACAAAGGGTCTTAAGTACTTGCTAAAAATATTAACAATTATTTTAATTGCCTTCTGTAAAGAGCATAGCTCCTTTTCAGTGGTCAGCAGTGTAAAGGAAGAAATGAGCTGGTAGGGGAAAGTGCCCACTTCATTGTGGAAATTCTACCCTCTATGCTGAAGGAGATTTTGATATATAGTGATCTGGAAAGGTAAAATGATAAGTGGCCAAGATGATATAACTACAGAGGATCAATTCAGTTGTCTGGAAGGGGTCTGAGAGCACTGAAATGAACCTAGTTACTTTGGGCATAGGGGTACAGATGGAAGAAGCTGGCAGGGTAAGACATCTCACCAAGCAACGAAAATCCACTTGCAGGTTTTCTACTGGACCTGGAGGTAATGGGGAGGAAACTCTCACATAATTAGGAATGTAAAATGGAACTAAATTGATCAGCTTTAGGTCATAGAGCCTTTTATTTTAAATTTACTCAGGTTTTTTTTTTTTCATGGGATTTAAATTAAAAATGTATTTTTAAAATTATTCAAACCCAGAATTTATTGTAAAAATGATGAGTGAAATCAGGAGCTGTAGAATTGAAAATATTGACCCTCCCTGTTATTCCTAACAATATAAATATTTTATTGCTGTTTATTGATAGAGCAAAGTAGCATCTAAACATGCCTTCTGACATAAAACTGTACAGTTTGCTCATCCAGGAGCACCAGCCTTCAAAATATTTGGACAAAAGGTGTTGATGAGAAGATCTGGTAGCTCCTCACTAGGTGGGTTGCAGAGGCAATAAAAGCTCACAACCTCAGTGCATCACAAGAGGTGGTCTCTCATCTATTTTCCTCTATTTAGAGGAATTCCCTGCTAATGAGGAAGCCAGTTGGCTGTTTGCCTAGTGCCATCTGGAGACCTGCAAGTGTCACAGAAGTTTGTTAGGCCTTTTAGATGTTGACTTTGTGGACTTGTCTACTGACAGGTGGTGACCTTCACTGGGGTGAACTCAGAGAACTATGGCGTTGGGTTTGACTCCTTTCAGCATTCAAGCAGAAATGCTGTTCAGTTGCCTCCCACACCTATTGCCTATTTAGTGGCCACTTGGCCTTCCCTGCCATTTGGTGGCATTGCCCCTCCCCCCTCTGCATTCCCTCCTCCCACCTGCCAGTTTCTAAACAGATCTTGCCCAATCTGGCTCCATTCTATGTGTACCCATTTGAAAAGAACTTGGGTAACAGGCAGAGATAGAGGAGGCTCTGCATTTCTTTGAAGATTCAGGACAAAATAATCCTACAGTACCTTCCAGTGGTTATGCTTTTACCTTTTCCTGGTTTGAAGGAATTATCTAGTTAATAGGTGAGAAAACATAAGAAATTGAGAATCTGGTGTAAAGCCCAGCTCAGTGTCTCATGTGAACTATTTTGTCATTAGTGGTTGTAAAACCATATGGAAACTCCAAAGAAAAGTTCAGTCTAATTTTCTGCTTTCAGTCTGAATTCAAGAAGATTCTACTGGTGTGTTGATAAAAGCCTCTGCGTGTACACATTGCTGTGTTATACTTAAGGCAATTCTGCTTGCATAAAAAGATTTTTGAAAAGCAAATGATAATGTCTCTAAATCAAGATGGCTCAGTTCTGACAATTTTTACACATAAGGTACAACATTCAAAACATAGGTTTCAATTTTTTTTTTTATTGTGCTCCTAAGCTATCTGGGCATATGTTTTTCATTGGGGGAAAAAATTCCAGAAATTGATCATTTTTATTCCACTAAATTAATGGTGAGGAACTAATTTGATAAAACATGTCTGTAATTCAACACAAAAAGCACATTCATTTGTTCTTTTTGCCTGTAGGAAACATCTTAAGACTATTTTACTAAAGGATAGGGTCACCTAGAGGGGAAATCTGTCGTCTTAAATCGTTCTTCTTTACACGTCATCAGCCAATACATGAGCTTGGGTGGGTGCTGCAACAACTGGAGGAGGGGATGTTGAGAGAGCTCAGAGAATCCTTGCTTTTTCCTGCGGTGAGAGGGACTTTATCTCTTCAGAGAAGCGATGGTCTGAAAACACACTGCGAGTTGGTAGAGACGCGAACCGCTCAAATAGGGCTGCTGGCCGTGTTCCTGCCTTCGTCCACGTGTGCCTCGGGGAGTTGTAAAGTGAGTTTTGAGAATAAGGCGGGAAGCCCAGGTTTGATATCCTGGAGCTATGTTCCCGAGGGCCGAAGGCCAAGGTGGCATCCGACCAAGGGCGCCTTCCACTGGGTGGGCGCGCCGCTGGTCCCCGGCCCTTGCCTTCAGCATCTTCACCTTGCTCCCCTTCCTCCGAAGTTGCGGAGGTGCCGGGAAGAGGAGGGGCCTCGTCTCGGGCGCCCGAGTGATTGGTTGTCCGGGGTCCTTGGCGAGGGCTCTGTGGTCCAGCCCTGGTGGAGAGGGGCGGAGCGGCCACTGCTCCAACCACCGCCGCCACCGCTACAGTCGCAGCCGCCGCAGCCCCGGCCGCTGGGGAAGTCACTCCGAGCGGCTGCTTTCCGGGTGCCCCGACACGGACAGGGAGCGCCGCGCTCAGCTCGTTTTGCGCCAGAGCCATGCCCCGCAGCCGCGTGTAACCGCCGAGCTTCGACCGCCGCGAGCCCACCTCGTGCACCGTCCCTCGCCCGAGCCGAGCTTTCTGTGCACGCAACTCCCTCGGCCCCCGCCGCCCCGCAGAACCATGCTCCGGGCGACTGCCTTTGGGGCCCCGGTGTCACTGCTGCTGCCGCCCCTGCTGCTGCTGCTGTTGCCGCTGCCCCGCGGCACTGGGGGGCTGGAGGAGCGCTTGGACGTCGCCTCGGACTATTCGGCTCTGGAAGGCGAGGAGGGCGCGGAGCAGCAGCTGGAGCATTACCACGACCCGTGCAAAGCCGGTAGGTGCCGTCGCCTCCGGGGAAGTCCGGCAGAAGTTTGCCTTTGAAATGCAAATGAGTGGTGGGCAAGCCTGCGCTGCAGTCTGTGGGGCTGGTCTCCCCTCCCCTCCCTGGAGATGCCCCGGGTTCCCCGGGAAAACAATGCTTACTAGGAGCTGCTTAAACACCCCTCTGAGCCCTGGACGTTCCGGCAGGTTTGCTGCGCTCACCGGGTGGTGGCCGCAGGGACGTTCCCAAAGCGAATCGGGTTGAGTACCCGAGGCCGAGAGGGCGCTGAGGGTCCGAGGCTGCCTGTCAGCCGAGGGTTCAGCACCAGCCGCCGCCGGACGCTTTGGGCTGTAGCAGAGCAACCGGCTGGGCGCGGCGCTCCGGGGCTCAGATGGAGTTGCTGGCTCTAGCTTCACAGCATTTGTAAGTTTTGCTCAAAGTTTCCCAAGATCTGTAGGTACTCTTGGGAAGAAATTTTAAGAAGAAAGAGAAAAGCTTCACGGTCTGTAGAAGGAAGGGTCGCCTAGGAAGAATGCGCAGGACTTGAATTGCGGCAACTTCCCGGTAGTCCCCTCACCATCGTCCCGGCCCGGAGTTGCCCTGGGCGTGCGGAGATGGAAACCAGCAGGTGCTCTAATCCCGCCAGGAAGCGGCGCCCTGGACGCACGGCTTCTGCTTCCCGCTAACTACCATCTAGCTGGGGGTTCTCTGGGTAGTGGCTTCTGAGCAGGAATCCTTGAGTTGTCAGCCCCAGAAGGACCCAAGCGCAGGTTCCAAAGATAGCTGAAGGGGCAGTTCCCAGCCAGGCCAGGGGGTTGCTCTCCTCCCGGGGAGGTGCTGGGCTCAGAGGACCCCACTCCTGCTCTGTGGCCAGGGGCCCGTGGGTAGTGGTGTTTATCTCTGAGCATTGTCTAGCCAGTGTCACTTAGCGGCCAGCTGAGAGGAGCAGAAAGAGGTAAGCCCTCACCCTCAGAAGGCTGGTTGTGTCTTCCAGGTCTGTGCCAGTGTCATGGTCCAGAGCTGCATTCTCTCCTTCCTCTTTCAGCCTCGTTTCCTCATCTCTAAATTGGGGAACAAATAGGAAGGCTCAGATGATTTATGGAAAAATTCTTTTCCAATGGAATGACGATGATAGCATTTTAGTTATTTTTATTGTTACTGCAGTGGCTCTGGTATAGCCTGGGTGGAAACCAGAGGAAGTCAGGAAAGAAAGGGTTCCTAAGAGGCTAGAGGACCTAGGGAATTTGTGGGACCTCAAGATTACATAAAGGTTGAAGATCAAACCAGGCATGAGGAGCCTGGTTTTACCACAGGGAAGATTCTTGCAGAATATCCACCTAGTGCTATGTCTTGTGGGTCTTCTAAGTTCGGAAGGTGGGCAGAAGTAATTCAAGAGAATGTCAGCAGGTAGCATGCAGTGCCTCAGGGGACATCACTCATAGCCAAGGGAGAAGGGTATCCAGAGTGCTGTTGGGATGGCGGTCTGGCCCTGAAAAGAGGGTACTGAGTTTGGGAGAATGGGGCAGAGGGGATCAGCCACCAGCAACACCTGTCAGGTACTGGTCTCTGCCAGGTGGGAGCTGGCACTTGCGGAAGGCAGTACAGCAGCTGGTGCTCAGGAATAGGTTGCACCTGCAGTATGTTGGATGCTGGCCTGGACACCGCAAATCCAGAGGTAAAAAAGACACAGTGCTGTCTGTGAGAGCTTCCCAGCCTTGTCTCAGCCTTGAGGGAGATCCCTGAGGCAGTGTAGCCTGATGGGACCTCATTTTCTCTAGCAGTTTTGGAGAGAATGTTGGATAACCAGGGGCAGGCATGTTCTGCAACTGTTGCCCACAGGATGGGATGGGCTGGCAGGGCGAAAACGTGGAGGATCCTGGGAGTGTGGTTTCTGTTAGCTCTGCATCCTCCCAACCCTCTGGCCTCTCGGGGCTATGTGATGCTAAGAGCGGCCAGAAGAGGGCAATGGCAGGGGAGACCTAGGGAGAAGGAAACAATCTCATTCTACCCAATCTCATGGAAATTCCTTGATCTAGGGAACAGCCATATGGAAGGGTAACAAGCAGTTCAGAGGGCACTGAAGTCTCTCAATGAAAGGATTTGCCTTTGGGCTCAGCTGAAGGGAACTGCACTTCCTGGTTGGTATTTAAAGCAAACTTTTAAGAGCAGCTCATTCCTGTCTCAGCCAGAAGCCCTTCTCCTAGGATCTGCTTCAGGGTTTCTAGTCTAAAATAGTTCCCACTTGTCTCTTCTCCATTGTTGGTCTCCATTCTCTGTGTATCCCGCATGCAGAGGGGAGAGACTTGGATCTGTTCCTGGCCTCTCAGTAGCTGTGTCACCTTGGACGCATCCCCTGTGGAAGGAAGATTTTGGTCTTGTTAAGAATGACAGTTCTGGGGTGCTTTCCTCTTGGTTCTCATCAGCCATCTTGCCCTGGGACCACTTCACACCTAACAGGCATTTGAGCCCCCCCAGTTCCTTCCTATTCAGTGTTTTATGGTTTTGTGACCTTTGATTCCAGCCAGGCTTTCAGAGGCTGAGCAAACTTGCAAGTGTTATATGTACTGTTTACAATGTTAATGTTTATAGTTCATCACTTTTTCAATTTACTTTTTACCATTTTTACCAGTTTACCATTTATTTTACCATTTGCTCTGCCTTTATAAATTGCATGACCTTGAACAAGTCATTTGATTTATAATTTCTGACAGATGGAAGTGCTTAGAACAGTGGTTGGACACATTGTTAGGTACTTTATAAATAGATTTTCTAGAAATATGTGGAAAGAACATCTTCATGCAGATCTTTTGAAGCAGATTTTAAGCTGTAAATTCTATATTTACTAATAGACAGTCTTTGATGCTGTGAAGGGGGATGACTTTTATATCAGATGATTATGGAGTGGGACTGAATCTGTGAAGCACTCCTGGCCTGGGGCTGGTGAGGGACGTTGGGTTTCTGGGGTACATATTTTTGTCCAGTGGTTTATAGCTCTGCTGTTTTGCTTTTCCTCTGATTCAGACAGAACAACCCTGTACTATACAGTAAATCATAACACCCTCCCACCACCAGGCCTCTGAGAGCAAAGCTTGGTGCGCCTTCTGCTGCTGCCTGACCTCATCCATAGCTCTTTAAGTAGATTCAAGCCAGAAGGCCTGGATCCTTATCAGACCTTGCCTCTTACTCTCTGTGTGACTGTTAACAAGTCATTTTACTTCTCCATGCCTCATTCTCCCCATCTGCAAAATGGAGATGAGAGCAAAAATACTTGTATTGTAGGCTAGATATAAGGCTAGTTTTATTTGAATTCCTCAGAGAGCAAGGCCTTATACGAGGACTTGTGTGTAGACAGTGTGTTTGGAAAGCAATCCCAGGAACCAGAGGGGAGGGAGCAGGAAGGGTGAGATAGAGAAGGAAATTCCATGTAGGGAGTGGGATTGAGGTAGCTGTTTTATGTGATGGGATTTTGACCCCAATGGGACCTCAGAGAAGCTTACAGAATATTTCCTAGAATTATCTGCCAAAGGATAGGAGGCTGAAGCATTTATCCAGAGGCTGCTCCCTTCGTTGTTTGCTCCCTGATCCAGTCTCTATTCCTGCACAAGAGACCACCCCCAACTCAGTGGTGTAGAACAATCACCATGTTCTTATATCTGGAGTCTGTGGATTAGGAATTTGGAAAGGACCCAGCAGCATGGCTTTTGTCTGTTCCATGTTGTCTGAGCCTCACCTAGGAAGATTTGCAGGCTGGAGTGACTCACCAGCTAGGGGCTAGAATCCTCTGGAGGCTCGTTCACTCACATGTCTGGCAGTTAAGATTGGCTGTTGCCTGGTACCTCAGTTGGACTGTTGGATAAAACATCTGCAAATGGCCTCTTGTGGTTTCTCTGTGAGTGCTAGTTGGGCTTCCTCATAGCATGGCCACTGGACTCTAAGTGAATCCATGAGAACCAGATGGAAGCTATAGTGCCTTTGATGGTCTTGCCTTGGGCTTATGAATCATCACTTCCACTGTGGTCACAAACCCTCCCAGACTCAAGGGAAGGGAACAGAGACTCACCTGTCCAATGGGAAGAATGTCACAGTCACATTGTTAAACGAGAATGTAGGATAGGAGATATTGTTGTAGCTGATTGGGGAAACTGTGACCTGCCATCCTCCTGCACATCCAGGCTTTGTGGGCCCTCCAGGTTCAGAAAGTCCTAAAGCAGAAATGTGGGGAGACATGGAGTGAAGGCATGGAATTGCCCAGAGTTGAGCTGAGGGCATGTGACTCAGGTCACCAAAATTGTTTACATGAGGCTCAGATTATGTGAAAGTGCTTGTATAGCCTTTGAATTTATTAAATCCAAGGGAACCTGCGGGCAGCCAGCTTTATGTTTCAGCCAGTGATTGGACAGGTGCCAGGGCTTCCTCACAGCTAAGTCCTGGGTTGGTGATATGATAAAGTTCGTGGCACCTGATGATGCATGGCTCAAGAGCCAGTGGTGAGGGTTGTGGCCTGGGAACTGGTCTATTTCTTTGTGAGCAGGTTTAGATCCCTTTCACACTTTCAGACCTTACTTCTGCCTAGAATTTGGGGCCTCACTCCACCTTGTCGTTCTCTCCAGGATGCCTTACTAATCAGGTGTGTTTTGGAAGGGGTCACCTAGAACACTCTCTGGGGCATCTCTTGCCAGCAGCCATCACATTGCTGATGTAAGACTAGAATGTTAAACTTTACAGAGTCGGGGATTTTGTCACAACGCCGGTACCTACCGTATCCAGCATTCTGAAGGCATTGGTCATCATCTGTTGTACCAGGGAGGAATGATTCAGGCCCTCTGTGGGTTGGGTCCTTTGCTGATGGAACTCCATACTTGCTGTCAGCCTGACAGGAAAAGTAGCCCTGGCCAGAGGGCTGCAGACCTCATGAGAATTCCTGGGGCTCTTGGGCCCCAGGGCAGGGCTTCTCCAGCCTTTCTACCATTCATGGCAGGCACCAGCACTCTGGTTCCTATGCAGAGCTGAGC